ATATTACGAAATGAGATAGGAAATTAATCCACATTTCTAAATCTTCGAGTCATGCATATTCTGTTGCAGTCCTATGAGCACAGCATTAGTTTCCAGCTTGGTGTGTTAAATAGTTTCGAATATAGCTTTATTTCTCATCTAAAAATGATGCTGACCCCTCCTCATTACTCGGTTGCTCTTATACTTTCTTAACATTAGCAATATTCAAGCTTGCTGCTGTTGCAAGACCTTAGTTATTTTATGAGTTCGTATGTTTATGGTCATGAGGAGGCCGACTTGTGAGGAACGTAAGTGACCCTACAGACAACCCAGAGACTCCAGGTGCATCACGTGATTAATGACTCTAAATGAATAAAAAAAGATAAGGCTTCAAGTATTTTCTTTTTTTCGTGTACAAAAAAGAACTCTGGTTTCTTACTCTAAGGTAAATTCACATTTTTTAGCTGTGTTTACGCGATTAGTAAGAGGCGGAAACATTTTGAACCATGCGAAACACACACTGCTCGCAAGTAAAACCCCTGCAGGTCTATCGCCAAATGAAATGAACACACGTCGGAGGTCCAGTATCTCGTTTAAATCCCCTCCACAACTATGATGCACCTTGCTGTTTCGATCACTTGTGATGTATCTTCCGATGAGTGTATAAATTGCTATAAGCCGCAAACGCTCTACTGCAGGTCTCTCACCTGTACGGCTTCTCTCCTGTGTGAGTCCTGTCATGATTAGTTAAGATGCATTTCTGAATAAATGCCCTGCTGCACGTGCTGCACTTGAACGGCTTCTCTCCGGTGTGAGTTCTAACATGAGCCTTCAAGTTACCCTTATGCGTGAACGTTTTTTCGCAGGCACCTCAACTGAAGGGTCTCTCGCCAGTGTGAGTCCTCTCGTGGATGGTGACATCCTGTGCGGAAGAGCTTGAGTGAGGACAGAAGCGGCACGGGTGATTGTCCGGTTGTCGGTGCGTTGGCTGCTTGTGTGGGCCCGAATTATTGGTCTGGGGAGAGGTGTCACCTCTGCGGCTGGCACGGTCGAATGTACCTACTTTGTCGACATAGCCTGCTCCGATCCAGTCTGTTGGGATGACACGACAGAGCAAGAAAGGTCGGCGCATTTTTAATTGTTCTGAACATGGTCCATTATACCTACATTATGCCGGTGCGGCCACGTGGGCATTCGTTCATTTGAGATGTTACAAAGGTTCATTCGCAAAGCTTGTAAATGTCTACAGGCGGTCGTTTAAGACTCGACTCTGGCAGCCCCATGGTGCGGCAGCTGTGGTGGCTTGCACGTTCTGCTACCCAAGTGCGGAAGGGAAGTCAAGCCGCCGCGGTCGCTGCTGCACAGTGTTGGCGGTAACGTGTTACAAGTAACGTCGTTACCGGTGGCGCCTTTCGTTTTTCAGTAACGTGGTAATGTAATTGTTACTTTTCCAAGACAGTTACGGGTAACGTTGATTATTTCAAGTAACAGATAACGTAATTACGTTACTCATTACATCTTCCGAAAATTTGAAAAACGATGTTAGCACAGAACGAGCGGGTTGGTAGGGATAATTAAACTTGAGGAAGAAAACGTGTTTGTCCCTCCCTTCTTGTTTTCTTCCTAAGTTTAATTTAAAAACGAACACCTGTATTTTTTGCCAGTTTCTATACATCGCTTTACCTAAAGTCCAGGCGCAGCTGATGCTACAAGCTGATGGGAATTACCAGAAAGAGGGAAAAGGGAACCATCATGGTGTTCTGCGTGTTCCTGTACGTGTTCAATCTTCGATGAACCAACCAGAAACAGTCATGGCCCACTGACTTGTGATTTTGCCGCTGGTTGATTCGTCCCATTAGCTCGTAGCGTCGGCTGCGTCTAGATTTAAGCTGAAACGTAGAACATGATTCAAGTAATTAATTATTGCACTCATTCTACATATTTTTCTAAAGTTTGCTTCTCTTTTTCCCACGCAGAAATTCCCACTTTAGAAAATCTCCAACGTCCGCGCCCGTCATCCCAGTGTCGAAAAACGCTGACACCAAAATAAAACAAAAACGCTGTTACCGTCAATTTCTAAATAAAAAGTAACGCAAAAGTAACGTGCACTACTTTCTGTCGGTAACGGTAACGCGTTCCTTTATTTCACATGTAGCGAATAACGTATCTTTCCTTTTCTACGGTAACGCATACAACACTGCGGCTGCATAACGCTGCCAGTACGGAGCGCTGGGTGATAGGGTGTTGACATTCATAATGATCGTGACTGTGTATTAAGTAGCGCTGGAAGGGTCATTCACACACCCACAGATTATTATGTTACACAAAATAGCATTCAATAGGCTCGTAGAATAATCGTTGCGTAGCTTTGAAACTTGAAAAATCGCTAAGTTACACACCGAATATTTTACGAGCGATTTAAACAGGGAAAAACGCGGTTCTATATCGACAATGATGTGGACAGTTGCCAGTCTAAAGCTAAACTTCGGCGACACAAATAATGCAGGCAGAAAATATTCAATCATTTGAACAACGAAAATTTATTGGGCTATTTTATTCATTAAAAATCATTTATAGTGTTTTGACAGCCACTCGATCAATCGAAACTAAAAAAATACTTTTTTTTTTAATTAATAAACTCAACACGGTACATTTTTTGGATATCAGTCAAGGAATATGGTGCAGCAATTGAAACTTTGAGTGCTCGGAAGGAACGTTCTTCCAGTAGAGCCCACCTTGATTGTTTACTTTCATTTAAGTTTTCGTTTCTCAGACTTTAAAATATAACTCCTTTATCTCCCCCCCCCCCCCCCCCCCCCCCATTTCCTAAGAAAATAAACGTTGCATTGTGTTGTGGTGTACTTTTCTGCTCGGTGCAGGGCACTAACCAAACCTTAAAGAACTTTCCACGTGGAAGAAACTTGTGTACCACATCTGACTCCTTAGACTGAGGGGTCTCAAACACGCGGCCCACGACTTGCTGGGACGCGGCCCGCAGGCAACCGACTACGTGTCGCGGTGCCAATGTCCAGAGCGCTGGAAATGGCATGCTCCATCTTGATCACATTTCGCCGATTCATTTTTACTCAAAATGTAGCCCTGCTCTTTTAACGTATTCACATAGTTTATGCTTATCTCTGTTCATTTGCCCTTTGTTTCTCTTTATATTTCGCTTGCCAGATTTTTGTAATGTACAATAATTCCGCGGCTAGACTGCAAGCGCAAGCTGTTCGTTGAAGGATGCATTTCGTCGGCGCGACCAATCAGCAGGAGCAACTGGCAAAGATAAAGCTACGAGACTGGTTTCCAAATTTCCACACTATCTCTTTTAGCCACCTACGGCTCCTCCCCCTTCCCCAAGCCGGGTAGCGACTCGACCCGTACAGGAGGCCAACATCTCTCCCGGCTTTGCCTTTCCTTCTCTGGACCTCACAGCAAGAAGAATAAGAAGAAGCTCGGGATTCTCACCTTCAAAAAGCTGTTACGATTAAAATACAAGTAATTGTTCGAGTGTTGTGATAAAAATCGTCTGGAAAACAACAACTGTCACATTAACTGATTGTTTTTCGGGACATCTTGAGCTTGATTAATTCCTGGGTGGATTGAGCAACGGAAACGACGGTGTGCTTGTTCTATTAAAATGCCAGCATGTTGGTGGAGCGGAGCCATTATATTCTTATCACATCAGGTCAAGGCCCAAAGCAGGCTTATAAGCAAATCAAATGTAAAGATGTCACTAACAAATCTTTGACATAAAAAAAGTGAAGCACAAGGTCCCTCTCCTCCCTCGTCGTACGTTGGCCCTCGACTTTTCAGGCGTGGGATACCTGGCCCCCACTCTCAAATGAGTTTGAGGCCACTGCCTTAGAGTTTCCACCTTCTTCCACAAAACAGCACTCAATAAGCTCGTAAAATACTCGTTTTGTACCTTAGAAACTTAATAATTTGCGAAGATGTTTTAAAAGATGTTTCAATTCGACATTCGAATGCACATTTGCCAGTCTAAAGCTAAAGCTAGGTGTCACAAATAATGTTTTGAGAAAATCTTCAAGTATTTAAAACAGCCAAACCTTTTTGGGTTATTTTATGCGTCAAACGGAATTTGTAGCCTTTGTGAGAGCTACTCGATCAACCGGAACTAAAGGAAAAAATACAATTTTGTGATATAAATAAGCAACTCAGCATGGTACATTTCTCTGATATCAAAAAAGATGTATTAATTGCAACTTGGAGTGCTCGAACTAAAAGTTCCTTCAGTTGAGCCCAGCTTGTTTGTTTACTTTCACTATAGTTGTAGTACACGGACTTTGGAATGTAACCCCTTTATCCCACGGGAGGAAAACTTTGTGTACCACTTCAGACTCCTGACATTTTCCACCTTTTGGAAAACCAAGCTTACAAAACGTTTTTCAATCCGTGTGGAACCAACCGTTCATGAACATGTGAGGGTGTGCTAACAAGGCGCGAGGCTGGATGAGTGTTTTCCCGTGTGCGTCTTCGCATACCTGGTGTTGTTAGTTCTCTGGGCACCATAAGATCAGGGGCAGAAGTCGCACCGCCGTCCGTCCAACCCTGCGGGTCCATCTTGCATGGTTGCCGCTGGATTTCGGCCTTTTGGAAAGAGAGCTCCGCGCTCCTGTCCTCGCAGTCCGTTCTCTGCCATTTGTTGTCGAATGCTGCGTGGGCAATTTCTGTTAGGAGTGAAGGCAAAATTTTATTTAGTTGCCTTCTTTTTATTTAGACTACACCAAAAGAGAAGCCCAACCAGAACAAACTCCAAGAACAAGCAAACAGAGACACATCGTGCAGATAAAGTAGAGAAATTCAGGGGTTTACATTCGTATTGGGGTGTGATTCAAAAGGTAAAATAATCAAAGCACGAACAAACACGCGCATCATAACTGGATATTGAAAATCCCGAAAAGGTCGATTGTAAAAAATGCACGTGAACAAAACTTAAAAGCAATACTTCTCTATTAACTACGTACTACAAATGTTTCACTTCACCTTCAAACACTCGCTAAACATTACGTCGAAACAATCCCACACAAATCGAGCAAGACACAACTGAATATGATCAAGGAGCATTGTTTAGTTACGTCGCTCCTGCTCTGTAATGCTGAAAAAAGGCAGGCATGACACAAAACCAACTGTACGGTATTTCGCCGCCATAGGTTTTGAGAATTACACGTCAACAAAAACGGGGATACTGTGTGTCGGCGAACAAATCTATGGAAGGAATAAGGTCGCAAGTAGTTGGCTGAGCTGTGGCCATTCCTTATTGGATCCGACTAGTTGGTCCCATTAATCTGGGGAAGTCTAAGCCCAAAGGTCTGGCACTGCCAAAGTTGAGCTGGGCTGGTGGCTGGCCTCGGTCTGCAAAGTTTAGAAGAATGAGTACTAATAAACAGTCGCCAACACAAAGTTACTTTACCTGCCATCAAATATTGTCACATTCGATGAGCAAATCTAAAACTGAAGGATACCAGTGCCTGGAATTGCTCCAGTTGGCCATTCATTACTTCATTAAATTGCGCAGTAAATGATTAAGAATTCCGACGCAGAGACGAGAAAAAAGAAGGCAACAAACGGGAAAACGCGCATTTGCAGTTCAGTTTAATCAAGTAAAAAACTAAAGGCCACTTTCGAAATTAAACAGGACATGGATGACAACACCATTTATCAGTAGGAGGGTACCTGCCAGACATTTCAATCTGAAGGACCCGAAAAAAATAAGTACTATGGGACTACACCATTTCCAAGTCTGAATGTTTTGGCCAAATAACACTGACCATTTCTATTTCCACGAGAGATGTTTCAATATATATGCAGCGTCAAACCGCTAGCGAGGAGGAAAATGTGTGCCGGTTCCGTCTGTGCCGCATCCACGCGACTAATGCCACCATTTATAAAAAGATATGCAGTGCAGATCAATCATTCAGGCTCGCATTCTGCCAAAAACTAACATAAGCGGGGCCCACTTAGGAAGAACGAGTTTTAGCTGAGATACTTGGTTCACGTTCACGAGTTCCCCAAAAAACCGCATTGGTAAAAAACATTTTAGATCATCCAGAATTTGACCATAAAACGTTATAATTTGGTTAAGGCATCTCTAGTATAAATGGATCACCATTCAACACCAGTACAAAGTTTCCAGTCCCTATTGCAAGGCAAATGTTTGTTTTCTCCTTTTTATTTCTTCCAACTCAAGACAAGCTTGAGTGGCTTTCTCCTCTTGACCTTAAGAGAAGGTGAAACGCTTCTTCCGAAAAATAAGATAGAGGTTGATTTCTGCGGTGTTTGATCCCGTAATTCTGAAGATTTGGTTTGTTTTCCCCGAAGATGTAACTAAATGCGAGAACACACGAAAGACCTTTGACCAGTCGTTACGTCATAAAAGGATCTTTCGGCCGCCAAGCGCGTGTCGCTCGTGAGCAATCGCAGGCTTGCCACTCCCCTGCACTTGCAGCAATCATGACGCCTTTTTTTTTTTCCCCTTTTTAAAAATAGCAAGAGTCGCGTGCATAACTTTGACAGGCACTGAAGATGCGCGAGAGCGGAGATTCCGGAAACTCCTTTTATGACGGCACGCTCCGGGAAGGAGGGTCTTCAGCGGTACTTTCAAAATTATTTTCTACTGCCTTCGTGCATGAAATTGAAAAATAATTTAACCATTGGGCTTCCTGGAGGGCAAATTAAGACAATTTAAGTGTGTTTCCTCAATTACAAAACCGCTTCAGCTTTCCTTTGAAGACGTCTCATCTTCGAGACCGCCATAGCTTTACACATTTCGAATCCCTCGTTAGTTCATTCGTAGTTTTGTTTATGCATTTTTAACAACTTCTACACACCTCCTCTGTAAAGTCTTCGCGGACCCTGAGAGCATGGTTCAGGCTGGAACATGGCTCGTATTACTGATTTTGTTCAGCCCTGTTCCGCCAGCTTTTCAAAACCAACTTTAGGGGTCGGTCTTGGTACCTGGTGAGAGCGATAGCATTCTCGCTTACTGATTGGACATGACGCCTCAGCGTTTTGCTCTGCGAGAGTTATCGACAAGTGCGAAGTCATGTCACTAGATAATCTCTAGTCTGTTCGCGAGTCCTTTTGGTGAGAGCTACTCACCAACATACGGATGGTGACAGGGTTCTCGAGGTATTTAAGGTATTTGTCCCGAGTACTACTTACATAGAAGAATTTGAGCTATATAGGGCAGCGGGGCTGGAAATTTGCAGAGGGAGCGCTTTGTTGTCGATCTCATCGAACGGGAAGTATAGCAGACCATTTTAGTTTCAGCTTGCGTCCCGTGTCACTTTCTCGTGGCACTCGCAAGCTTTTAGCAGACGGCTGCCTTTATTCCGGTTCGTTTACGGAAGACGTAAAAGATTTTCTTGTTTTCTCTTTGTCTGCGAATGACGCTTCGTAGCAGCCGAATTCTGTTGTTCACCTAAGTTAGCAGACTAGTCATCTGCAGACGTTTTCTTGACTCGCTCCGTAAAGACCCGGTAACACTGCTCGTACACCAGGCAAAAAGCAGTGTGCAAATACCATCTGAGGCTCGTTTCTTTCTCGTGTCATTTCATATTGGGCCTACCAAAACTGACTGCGGACGTGTTCAAAGCATACATATGTGTGCTTTGAACAGGTCTGCAGATAGTTTTCTTAAGACCCAATATGAGAGTACGGTCATAAAGGAACGAAGTTCGGCAGTTAACACACTTGTGACTGTTTACGACCGGAGGGGCTTGTGAACCATCTTGTGACTGCTGATGACCGGCCGCTGCGCTGAAGGTCATAAGTAGTCACCAGTGTTTTAAGCATGAGCGGTTGTAAGCATAGCAATAAGAAATTAATATACCTGCCTTTACTTGAGCAAACAATAAAGCAAACACGCAGATAGTGCACGCCGTTTCACCGTATTAGAGACCACCACCATCAGAGATTCTACATAATAAACCAAAAGTAAGACACACTATTCAGTTTGTCCGCATTAAGGCACACTTTGAGGGGTTATACAGATTCAATCAATAAATGTATGAAAGGCTTTGAAAGGAGTGGGAGGGGCGGGGGGGGGGGGGGGTGAGGGCGTTAAATAGGCAAAGTGAGGTAAAGCAGACAATGGAAAGTTTACACGCTGCAGGCTCAACTGTAGCCATCTCATTTGATCCGACTCTGTCGCATACGTGTAAAGACATAATGTAGCACAAAGACGTTGCACCACAGAAGGGGGACTCGGCTGGTGACAGACCAACTTTCCAAAGCTGCAAAATGTCGTTCACATCTGCGTCCAAATTCCTGCCGAGTTTGATCTGCAAGGTTAGAAAGACGACGGTTAATAAACAGGAAGGAACGGAAAGCGACAATACTTGTTTGTACCTTTAACTACGTATATTTAGCACGGTGAAACTGTTTGCGAAATTAAAAAAAAAAACAAGCATCGCAAATGAGGAATGAAAGAGTAAAATTAAGATTTACATTTGAATGAGATGAGTATGCACTGATCACCCCAACAAGGCAATATTCAGAGCCAACCTAGCGAATCAGTACACGAGATGTATCGTCCACTTCAACCCCTGCTATACTATGCTGTGATTGAAATTCTGTTCTCGTGAGTTTGACACGCCGTATTCCGAAAACAAAATGAGTATTAAAACTTGGTTTGGGGCTGAGGCGTATGAAGATGCGACCCATTAGGTCTCAGATTAATGGAGGTGAACGCAGTACAGCTGCGTTTGCATCTTCGGGTGTCAGTCGTCCCAGCTCTTCTTCTTAGAAGTTGTTTAGATTTCAATGGCTGCTGTGTGAATCTTCTTTCCTTCACCATCCTGTACTGCCTTGGTCGACTGTTAAAGAGACACATCATGTATGAGATTAATAAATTCTGGTGTTTTCTAGCTGAGGAACAACCTTAGGTGTCTACTTCTGCCGGTTGATAACTCCAGTCCTGAACAAGACAACAAGGCTGAAGAGGCAGCGGTAGCTCCAGAGTAGAATCCCTTAATCTTTCTTGGCGGCCCTCACAGAGTGGTGGCAACACTTGCGTCTGCTAACGGAGAGGCCACCTTATCTTCCGACACTACAACCTATTGTCCCGACACTACAACCTATTGTCCCGACCAGCCCTTGCTGAAGGATATGAAGATCGACCCTATGCATCAAGTTCCCGTTTCTCAAGAACGGTTCGACAATCGTGTGGAGTCGTTTGTGGTTGAGGCGCTACAGTCATATACTAACAGCTGTCATATACTAACAATGAAAAACAAAATATCTAAAACTAACCTAAAAGTAACATTTCTTAGTAATGGCAAGTAAGGACACCGATATATCGATGCAGTCGCAAAATGGTAATGGAGCTCTGAAACACGTTAGCTTTTTTCCAAGCTAACGAGTTACGATATTTTGTTACTTATTTTCGGTAATGGACACAACACTGCCAGGAAGCCTCTTACTGTTTTGCCGAAGCCAAAGTCCAATAGCACAAGGCTCGCTGGAGCGCGAACGTTATCGCCGGCATGGGCCTTGAGAGTGACGCACACGGGCCCGCACAAAGAAGCGCCACGAACTGCATGAAGAAGCAAAAGGGATTAGACGACTGCATTGCTGGTGCATTCACATGCCCACTGAAGGGTAAAGGAGAATGCCAGTTGTTTTAACTTGCGTCAAGAGTGATATCAATGTTGATGAAGATGACTGAGCCGCCATTGCCGACCTTCTGTTTTTTTACCGAGATGTCGAGCTACTGAAGCGGGTGTTGACGAGCCTCCACAAAGGCCTATGCTGGGGAGGACACAATAGCATCTAAAGGAGCAATAATTAACCTGTCTTGCTGTGGCAATGATGAAGTGAAGCGATCGGAATAAGACGGAACAAAAACGGAAGGTCGGTTATGGCGGCGAACATCCACAACTGCCTGAAAGCGTATATAGGAATTATTCACTGGACGCAATATTTGTGGGTGCTGTTTAGAGCTCATCCTCAAAACGAGGTCGCATCAATAGGCTGCTAAGACCGGCACTCTTGATGGTGCGGAATGCACGTTGCAAAAGAACTGTGGAAGCTCGCCATCAGCACGCGCTCAGCATTAAGCTCCCCATAAGACAATCGAAAGTACCAGACCATAGCCACCTCAATACTCAGAAAACCTAGCAGGTCGACGACAGAACCCTGTATAGTGTCGCAGATTTTGAGCTCGAGGATATGGTAGCACAGAGCATCAAAGAGTCATTTCTCGGAGAACCTGGACGTCAGCACACTGTTTTTGCAGCGGTGAGGACCTTAAAACACACTTCCGGGTCCTTGCGTCTCCCCGCAGAGCCTTGCGGCAGTGTCGACACGCTGCGTTTCCGTATCTCGCCGCAACGGGTCGCCAGTCACCTGGCTCTCCTCTCAACCGTTGTCTACCGCGCGACCTTTTCTATTTCGGCGGGCGCTTCTCGTGGCAATCTGCCAGGCTTTGTCAGTATAGAAGAGGCTATGGCCTCTTCTATACTGTGCTTCTACTGCGTTCAAATTCTTGCAGTTTCTTTATATTTTCCTCGTGATCGCGTTCCGCACCAAGAGCAGGCACACTTTTACTGTGTGACAGCTTGAGACGCTCAAGTTTGTACTACCCAAAACAAGTTTTATACTTCGCTTCAGCCTAAGTTCAGCTGATGGTACAGGCCCGGGCATCTGGCCCTGAACAGTGCTTGTACTGCACGAGCGGGCGCGCTTGGCAGGGCCACTCAAAGCCCGAAGCTCGCACTTGTAGCATCGGCTGTGTCAAGACTTAAAGGGATGCTGAAACGAAATTTGGATTTTACAAGATGGGGTAGCAGGGGTGTTCAACAAGGCGCCATAATTAATTCTCAAAACAACACTCATAAAGGGATATCTCGAACGGATGGCCGTATTTTCGTAAAATAAGGATGCGATTGAGTGAGAATCGCGACGTCGCGTTTTCTGCAGAATTCTTGAGGAAGGGAAACGGCCTTGATCGTTCTTCCTTCGCGTCCTTGTGGAGACAAAGCGAGAAAAGGAGGAAAGAAGAAGAGCGACGTCACGGGCTTTTCTGGCCTCGCTCAAGCGCGCTTTTCTTTCACAAAAATATAAATACTCATTGGAAGTATCAGTTAAAGGAGTCATAAAACGCTTTTTCAACTTTTTCCTGTTTAAAGGAGCTGTGCAACAAATTCAGGGCTTTGCTTAAATTATTGTGGAAGTTGAGGTCTGACACTTCTGAAGTGAACTACAGAAAACAGATTTTGCCTGGATACCCTAGCTTTTATTTTAAAAAATGAAAAAGATCCAGGTTCTTGCCGCCTCTCAACTCGTACGCCGACTTCCGGGTCACGTGCGCAGTGACGTTGAGGGGGTAGGCGCGGGGATCCGGAAAAGTTCTCTCTTTAGAGCCATCAGTGAGTAGCGAGAACTCATCCGCTCGCGACCGCGTGACCACGTGCTTGCGGGTGCCGTGCGAACAATATGGTGAAAGGAAGAAAGTCTCATACCGATCCGGCCATAGCCCGACCGCCCAACCGGCCTTGTCCCCCTCCCCCTCCGTCTTCTGGCGGCTGTTCGCGGTAGCAGAGAGAGCTGACGGCTATGTGGACCTAGGGTGCCTACATGTTTCCGCTCCGCTTTAGGGTGGCGCCAACTTCTTGTTACCCTTTCCCAGATCCTCTCCCACCGCCATTTTGACCCACTTCTTATTTGGCTAAACGTACACAACGTTGAGTTTTCGTAGCTTCGACACAACGGCAACACTGTGAGGCCACTTCCGTTTCCGTTCATAGGAGGAGTCGGACGAGTCGGAGGCTCAGCGGGATGGCGGTCGGCGTGGCTGTCGCTCTCTTTATTCGGGTGTTTCATACTTTGAAGTTGCGAGCAGGAAGTATGCGCTGCGTCTATCGAAACGTGAGTCCCCTCGACAAAATGGAACGCAACAGACCGGCATCGCACGCCGAAACCTCGCCGTCGGAACGAGAGCGGTGGGCGCTCCCTAGCCCTAACGAGGATTAGCGGAGTAGCGCGAGCGCACGACTGGCAAGTGTGACAAAATGGTCGACGAAACAGCGGAGGCTGCCATGGTAACGAGGTAGGCAACACTGGTTTGTCGGCAACAGGTATCACACACGTTGTCGCCACCCTAAACAGCGGAGCGGCGGGAACATGTAGGCACCCTATGTGGACATAGGATAGATGACGCCACTAAAACTCCGTATAATAAAAGTTTTGTCGATGATACCAGGGTTTTGACGCATTTATATATATGTTTGAACGACAAGATTTATAGAAAAGTTACCTTTTATCGAGCAGGTATTCGCACAACTTGCTATCTTTCTACAAGATTCTCCTTTGACGTCAGGCCGCGTGTTTCTTATGGCCGCCGCTCGCGGCTGCAGGTCGGGGAATATTTTAAGTTTTGCCTCGCTATTACGCGGAGGAATCGCAACATTTCGATGAAAAGAGGTGTGTTTTCTGTCATTTGTGACAAGGTGAACAATATCAAAAGCAGAAGATGTCAATTCTTTCAACGTTAAAATCGTTGCACAGCTCTTTTAACTTTCCTCCTCAACTCATAAATCGCGCATTCTACCAAATAGTTCAAGAAGACGGAAAGTGGGAGCCCCTTGCTCGGACTCTCGTTTGTGTAATCCGGACAGATCCATTCTCCCCCGAGAAGATTAGCCCGCCGCTCAAAATTCAGACAAAAGAGGCTTTCGCCACGCCGTTCACCAGGAAGCTGACAGTGCTGTGGAAGCTACGTGCTTCTTGAGCCAGCCACACTTTTGCCACGTAATATCGCTCTCTGGCGCATATCCACGTGCAGAGAATGAAGTCAGGTGATGAAAGGGGGGTGGCTGATTGGTCCGGCAAGCGCGTAGCTTCCACCACAATGTCACCTTAGGGGTGAAGGGAATAAGTGAGGTCCGGCGTCGTGTGACGTGCGTTTGGAGCCGGTGACGCGCTGCGGGGTCCGCGGATGTATCCCAGTGAAAATTCAGAGACCAGACTTGGACGTATTTCAACTACTCTACTCAAACTACTGTAGTTTAACTACTTTTCTGAGTAACTTGGTAACTTTCAATTACAACTTTATTTGGGTAATTAGTACTTTTATTTAACTATGTTTTTGAGGTAACTTCTACTCAAATTAGTAGCTACTTTTGAAATGTAGTGCTAAATTTGCTGATCACAAAGGTTTGAGCACAGAAGTAAATAAGACGCCGGCGTATGAAGTGGCATTCCCGAACAAGGGGCCCCCTCACATTCCGTTCCTACGCACTTCTACTCGGCAGCCGTAGAAACTGCATCACAGGCGTCCTTGGGCCATGGTGGCGACGAGCAGCCAAAACATAACACTGGCGCGCACGAACGCAGGAAGAGATGCTAACAAGCCTTGGTCGGGTATTGACCTAATCCGGCAATGCACGCAGGCGCCGCGCCTTCAGCTGCAACCGTAAAAGAAAAAACACTCCGAGGTTGTTTTTTTTTGTGTGTGTGTGTGTTGTTTGCTTTCAGTGAGTCCTACCTCAAGCGGTTTGGGGGTTCCACTGGAGACGCCACTGGAATGACCTTGCACCTGGGCAACTCTTCCCATGGTCGCCTCGTCGTCAGCGCATACTCCCTTGCAAAGCCGGACTCCCCCGTGCACAAATGCAGACACGGATAATCCGTTCATTTGAGCAAGCACGTTCCCGCTTCGACCTGCAACTGTACGAACGAGGATGCTTGTTCACGTAATCCTTCGCGTCCTTCCGAACTTCCACGCCAGGGAGACCTCCTCTTTGGTGAGAACGATTTATTTGTCAGGCGTGTCAAGATACCGTAGTCGCCGGCGAGCATTGCGAGTCACCATTGGGAGAATCTTTTGTTGGAACCGGCGTCAGTGGCGAAACATGCCTCGTTTCAAAAAAAAAAATTTTTTTTTAGTAGCGTAGCATTAGGACTGGAACGAGAGGATGATCTCAACGTCGTGGCGCGAGACTTTACCCCATGACGGTCAGGTGCACTCACTCAGCGTACTCTCCGAACGTCGTGGGAATAAAGAGGGGCCAGTCATAACAATCTCAACTTGCCGAAGAAAAAATAAAAAAGGAGGAGAGTTTGTTATAAAAGACCCTCTAGGGCCGAGAGAAACTTCACATGTTTCGTCATGGACACCAAAGATGCTGACACTCGCATACCCGACCCTGCACAGTCTGTTTCTGAAATTAAACGCTGCCGTTCTATCCAGCGCCACGGTGGAACGTCTTTTTAGCTTGGCTGGGGATGTCTTTAGGAGGAAAAGGGGAAAACTCCGCGATAAGAACTTTGAAAGACAATTGCGTCTGCGAGCAAATAAACTATTTGAGTGAATACGCAAACCATAAAATTACTGCATTTATTTTAGGTTCGCAGGATTTTTCACGGATCAAAACTTCTGTTCATTTTGCTACCACACATATATAAAAAGTAACTTCGAAAGTAACTTCAAAGTAACTCGCTACTTTTTACATTAGTTAGTAGTTTGCTCAATTACTATTACCAATACGTAATTTCTACTCTACTCCAATTATTTCTGGCGTCGATACTCAGTAACTTAACTACCTTTTTTGAGTAATTTGTACATGTCTGGCAGAGACCTA